CTGCAGGCGTCGACATCATGTTTACCTTCTGTGTCCTTGCAGGACAGAGCACCCACAGCATCTGTCCGTGCGGTGACACCACCCTGATGGGGCATCTGTGTGTCAGCTTGGATCTGTGGAGGCTTTTCTCACCTCCTGAGCTCAGGAGTGTGTCACAGGGAGCTTGCAAGCGGGAGATGTTCGCAGTGAGGACGTAGTGCTTTGACACTGACACAATGTGTAGTTCTGTAGCACCTTCTAATGTTTCTCTGCAGGGGATGGTTTTGTAGCAGTCTCCCAACGCTCCTTCATGGTAGATGATTCTGTACCCATCTTCCAACATCTTTGCACAGTGGATGGTTCTGTAGCATCTTCCAAGACTCTTCTGCAGTGGATGGTTCTGTACCCATCTCCCAATGCTTCTCCATGGTGGGTGGTTCTGTACCCATCTTCCGACATTTCTGCACAGTGGATCGTTCTGTAGCATCTTCTGAGACTTTTCTGCAGCGGATGGTTGTGTAGCCATCTCCCAGTGCTACTCCATGGTGAATGGTTCTGTACCCATCTTGCAACGCTTCTGCACAGCGGATGGTTCTGTAGCACCTTCCAAGATTTTGCATGGCAGATGGTTGTGTAGCCATCTCCCAGCGCTCTTCCAACAGCTGCAGCTCTCCAAGTTTGGTGATCTATGAAAAGAGGCTGGGTTGTGGCATGCACATGCTCGTTTTGGAATGTGTCCCTTTTCAAGAGCTTTCTCTTGGATCTGTGCTGGGTAGGTAGTAGGATTTTGCATCTGCTAGAGCTGGTACAGACTTGCCTCGGGTTTTTAAAGCATGTTTGTGTGTTGCTGCTTGGCAGGCTTCAGCTACAACTCTGTTTCATGACCTTGCTTGGTTATGATACCTAAATAAGCCTGTCCCTGCCCTATTTCCTTCTTGCAGTGGTGACCTCTTGGCAGCATCCTAGCAAGAGCATATTTAAAAGCAGATCTAGCCCCTACTCTTACTGTGAATATGTCCAGGAGATGACGAGCTGGCTGTTCCCACTCGAGTTTGATGTGGTGACCTTCCCTGAGTGTCTAAAACCTGTGTGTGTGCGGTTACCAACGGGCAAGTTGGCGTGTCTGTAAAGGCAGAAAGAAGTCGGAGCTGCTATGGGGTGTGGAGGGGAGGGCTTCAGAAGCCTCAGATAAAATCACAGAATGACTTAAGTGAAACAGTACTTACAGGAAACATCAACTCCATCATGTGTGGTCGTTTCTAAGGGTTTTTTTCCCAGCAACATCAGCATAGCTAAGCTACTGGTTTTTTTGTAATTTTCTTTTTAAAGGAACTTTATGTAGTGTTTTCTTTATTACTCTGGGAACCCTGACTTATCTTTCAAGAGCGAGGGTCCTAACTGTGGGCAATTTGTACTCCTGGTGATGCACTTCTACATTTCCTAGCAGTGCCTTTCACTTCCATCCCACCCAAACACCTCTGTGACCCTTTTTGCTTCTTTGATTTAACATTTCTCTGGTAGGATACATCTTTGTTCAGGGATGTATTCTAGAACTTTCTATTCAAGGTGTTGCGCTTCCATGTTTATGGGCCATGAACCTACAGCCAGGAGAAACCTAAGGTTACACTGATGGGTGACTTCTGCTGTCATGTCTAACTGAATGAAACGCACCACTACTTGCATGGTTTCTTGTATCCCGTGTATTTTTTTGTGGTTTTCTGTAACAAAATACAATGTTGATTTAAAGCAAATCCTGTGATGCAATACAGTTGTTTCCTGAAGCAGGACCTGTTGTGCACCCTCATGTTACCTGCAGATGGTCTGCATTGAAGCCTGTCTTGTTGTCTCCTCGCCAACCCGTGGTGAAAAGGCTGCTGGATTGCTTCTTGGCTAACTCTGTCTCTGCAGCTGTCTAGGTTCCAGTTTTGTATGAGTTATTGTTTCTAATGTTGTATGAATAAATAATGCTCTTCAGCCGCGACTGTAACATAAGCTGTAAGTCACGGCATGATAGAAAGTTATCAGACCTTCATAACCAGGAAAAAGTCTTTACCAGGGAGGAGAGAAATGTTTTGAAAAAGGTAATTTACTCGGAATTGTTTGGAATGCAAAAATTTCAGTTTCCCTCTGTAGCTGTGTGCCTCTCAGAGGCTCTCCCATCCTCCTGATGTTCTGTACCGTTCCTCTCTAACAAGCTTGATGTCTCCTTACTCTTGCAGAGGAAAATGCAGAAATTACGCTGGATGTGTCATTAGCATATCGTGATGACATGCTTGAAGATTGGGAAGAAATAGCACATGCAATAGAGATCAGGAAGCTGAAATGCACCTTTGGCTCACCGAAAGTAAGGTGTTTCGATGACCCTGGAGGTGGGGAGGTGTGGGAATGCAGTGGAACTTGTCCTCTTCCTTTTCTTTGTGATGCTTCCTAGCAGCTCTGAGTTGTTGAATCATAACTTTCAAATGCTTCAGCTTTCTCTTGGCTCTTTCAAAACCTGATGAGCTCCATATGCAGTTGGTTCCGTTCAGCCATTCAAGAGAAGGGAATGAAGTCAGAGAGAGACTTAAAACTGGAAGGAGGAAAAGGTGTCAGGTATTGCAGAGGTGTTATCGGGAACTTGAATGCTTTGAGATCTCTATACCCCAAACCATCCTAGAGAGCTTGGACCTTTCCATCTGTGATGGACAAAACCTTGTTCTTCAGAAATGGCCAGGAAATAACACACCAGAAATACGGCAGTACTTAAAGAATCTGGAGAAGTGAGGTGAAAGTATATTAAAACAAGGGTTGGACTAGATGACTTTTAAAGGCCCTTTCCAACCCAACGCATTCTATAAATCTGCAGTTCTAAAATAACTTCTTAATGCCTCAAGCTACAAAACTTAGGAGCAGAGAGCACAGCTAGCAGTTGAGAATGGAGCATCTTGTTTAAATAACAATGTTTTCTTTCTGTACTGCAGACTGTAATTCCTGAGCACGTTTTGTTTTGGCTCAAGTTGTGCTTGCCAAGGGAGGAAGCTTAGATTCCCAGAGCAGCCTTTCATCGTGGAGGGCTCCCTTAACTTTAAGAGTATTCAAGAGCCTGAAATGTGAACCGGCTCGAGGACAAACGCTATTGACTCAGTGACCCAAAGCAATCAACAGCTTGAGGGTAAATATCCCCAAGCCGCTGACTTGCACAGCCTTTTCCCAAGAGAAGGTTGGGATTAGCAACCAGATTCTAGGTGCTAGCAATGGTCCAGCTCCATTCAGCGTTAGGGCTTTGACAGATGCTCGTGCTGGTCCCTCCGAGGCTGACGGCCGTGTTGCTGCTCTGTGCCCTTTCTCTAGACACTGGAGTCCGAAGGCCGTCACTACGACTGCGACTTCCTGCCCTTCATGGAGATTGGCAGCGTGGCCCACAAGTACTACCTCATCAACATCCGGCTCCCCGTGAATGAGAGGAAGGGCATTAACGTGGGCATTGGGGAGATCAAGGATATCCGCCTCGTGGTGAGCGTCTGTCCTGTGCTGCCCATGGTGACCTCTGGAGCTGGGTTCTTCCCACGCCTCCAAGAGCTCCCCCCTGTCCTCCCCTCCCTGCTGCAGTCTGCCTTGGGCACAGAGCCCTGCACCTGATGAAGCCCTGCCTCTCACGGACAGGAGCTGAGGAGGAGCAGAACAGCAAAGTTTGGAGGGGACCTAGTCAGTCTTGGGGTTGGCTGCAGCCATGCAGATGTTTGGAATGGCTGTCAGCTATCCTTGCTTCTGCCCTCCCGTGAGGCTTGGTGGCTGTGGGTGCTGCCAGCTGGAAAACCTCCCACCTTCTGCCATCCCTCTCAGCAGCAGCAGTGAGCTGGCCAGCTGTGGTGGCTGTGGATGGCCATGGGAGGGCATGTGTTTGGAGAAACAAATTAATTGGGCTGATGTGTTTCCCACCAGTGGTGACTGAGCATCATGAGTATCTTGTTACTTGTCTGTGACCAATTCTGCCTGCTTTTTCCATGCTGTGTCACAGTGCCCCTCTCTCGACTGCTCTCTACCACACAGTGGAAGCTGTGAGTGCTGGTATTTGTTTTCAGGACTTTTGAAGCCTGCTCAGATGGTCTGAGTGCTGAGTAGTCATCTGCTCCCTTCCATGTGTTGGACAAACTGTATCTTTCAAAGACTAGTTGCATCGACATGTGCTTGCATGTACTGCCACGTGCGTGCCTCTCCTGTCAGCTCCTGTAAGGAGAAGCATGGAGTAATGATGTTAAACCTTGTTGCATTCTGCCTTGGTTTTCCTTAGGGCATCCATCAGAACGGAGGCTTTACAAAAGTGTGGTTTGCCATGAAGACCTTCCTCACCCCCAGCATTTTAATTATCATGATCTGGTACTGGCGACGGATCACACTGATGACACGCGCTCCTGTGCTGCTGGAGAAGTGAGTAGTGGCTGACGCCTTGGCTGAGGTGACCCTCAAAGCAAGAGGGGACCCAAGGCGGTTGCTGCTCTCAGGCACAGCCCATGTTTGGCGAGACAGGGGTGGTCTCTGCCCCCTCCACCCTGGGAGTGGGAGACGTCCATAGCTTCTCCTTTCTCTCCCATTAAAGGCCCAGAGACTGAGTAGCTGCAGTTGTGCGTGGCTGCTCAGCGGGGCTTAGCCCCAAGGTGTTTGCTGGCAGGAGGTGGTACCCTATCACCCAAGCAGTTCCAGATTTTCTTCTGTTGCTCTTCATGCGTGTCTTTGGCTTCTGGGGATCTGCATCCTTGCCTTGCAAACTGGAAAGAGCTGATCTTTCTGCCTCTTCAGGGTCATCTTTGCCCTGGGGATTTCCATGACATTCATTAACATCCCCGTGGAGTGGTTTTCCATCGGATTTGACTGGACTTGGATGTTGCTCTTCGGAGACATTCGACAAGGCATTTTCTATGCCATGCTCCTGTCATTCTGGATCATCTTCTGTGGGGAGCACATGATGGTGGGTACAACACAGAAGCAAAGGTGGTTTCCAGCCCCACTTGTTGGCAATACCTGCCAGCTCCCTTGTACTTGTTATGCGTTGGAGAAAACGCTGTGGGGACGTGAGAGGACTTCAGGCTAACTTGCTTTTTCTTTATCTCCTTGTCCCCTCCTCTTAACTCCCTGATTAGGACCAGAACGAGCGGAACCGTCTCTCGGGGTACTGGAAGCAGGTTGGACCTATAGCTGTTGGCTCCTTCTGCCTCTTCATCTTCGACATGTGTGAGAGGTGGGTGCGGCGCTGCTCTCCAGCCCCATCTCACAAAGTGAGGAGCGGCTCCTCTGAGTGTGCTAAAACATGCTGGCACGTCACAACAGCCTGTCTTGGCTGTAAAGAAACACTTCCCACCTTGTCTCCTCCTTGTCCTTGTCGGAGGGCAGCATGGCTGGCTTCTTCCGGGCCGCAGAGAGAGCAGACATGGGGCTCTCTGAGCAGCTTTGTGTTTTCTCTCTCTTTGCAGGGGAGTGCAGCTGAAGAACCCTTTCTACAGCATCTGGACCACTGAGGTTGGCACAGAGCTGGCTGTATCCTTCCCCCGTGCAGGCTGGATCTGTGTCGGTCGGAGAGGCAGGTGATCCCATCATGCCAGATCCCTGCGGGGTGAGGGGAAATTATCCTTCTTCCAGCAGTCAGTGGCTGTGAGAGGGTGCTCAGGCACTGTGGGAGATGCTGGGGCTGTTTGGAAGAACACCACAGGTTTGATTTTCATCTTTAGGATGATCTTTTAATAAGCGGATCGCCCAAGTGATGTTTGCTATTACTTCTGCGTAGCTCATACCATTTTTCTCTTAACCTACACGGCTCAGATGGCCTTTATTATAGTTGCAGGAATCTGCTTGTGTCTCTATTTTCTCTTCCTGTGCTTTATGGTCTTCCAAGTGTTCAGAAACATCAGTGGAAAGCAGTCAAGCCTCCCAGCCATGAGCAAGGCTCGCCGCCTCCACTACGAGGTAATATCCCTCCTTGTTCCATGGATTCTTTAGCTTTAAAAAGCATTTTTCACCTTAAAGTCTCTACTGAGACCTTTTCTGTCCAAACAGTCCTGAAGTGGAAGGTCTGACTTTTTATCAGCGCTCCTGTGGTGCCCAAATCCCCTCACTGCCTTTTTGTGTGTCTGTTGTGAAGTTTCTTCATTTGGGTCATTAGTCCTGGTGAAGGATTTTAAACCTTCAGGAGGCTCCGTACGCTAGCTCTCCTTTCTTATGAGTAGCTGCCATCTCCAAACAGTGTTCCCCAAATTACTGTTTGAATTACTGCAGGCTGTAAGCCCATCAGTTCCTCATACCTTGGTTTCTTCTCCTGTAGTATTAATTACTGCATTTAATGGAAAGTCTTGCTAAGACCACCCTGTTTTCCTGCAGCCTGAATTCAGATTTTTAGGGTTGCCTTTTCCTGACCAAGTTGCAGGAGGGAAGCTGTCCTGCTAGGATCAAAATGCGACGCATTCAACTCATTGTCCCCATTTTTAGCCCGTGATTTTATGTGTTGCTTCTGTCTTTAACCATAAGGAGCTCACTTAAGCTGAGAGTAAGCTGAGTTTAAGCTTAAGCTGAGAGTACCTGTCACTTCCATGGGTTTGTAAATATTTATCACCAGTGTTGTTCTGTGCAATGATGGTCACAAGTCTGTTATCACCCATCAGGAATGCACCTAAAAAAGTAGAAAACTGGCTTTGAGAGAATTTGAAGAAGATATTGAGCGTTTTTTTCTATCTTTCCCTTTAGCAAGGAAACAGGATTTCAGGTCCTATTGTAGAGCTGCCACACTCTGCATACAGACATCTGGCAAGCACGAAGAGTTAAATTAATAGTCGTTTGTTGTTGCACTGTGGTGCAGTAATTACGCAGACACTGACATTTCCACCAAAATTCCAGGATCAGGTTAAAAACAACCCAAACAAACACCCAATACATGTGAAAACAAAACCCAAAAGAATTCATGAAGTAGAAATGTAAAAGTAGTGAAAGCAGGTTTGGTGGATGCAGTCAGATTCCCAACCGGGTGATCTCAAGCCTTGGTTTGTCTCGTAATCTATATTCTTCTGTAAAAGCCAGCGTAGTTTTGACAAGTGTTGAGAAATCGCTGCAGTTTCCTCCCAGACTGACAGTGGAGGTGAGAGTTAGTCCGGTACAGACCCAGAACCCGTGGAGGACTCCTCTTGCTGAGCCATGCGAGCTCTCCACAAGTGTTTGTTTTGCAAAAGTGAGGAGCTCTTGGGCTGGCTGCTAGTGAAACCCCTGGCTTCGGCCGACCTGCCTCCTCTTCCACGTTGCCTCGTGATAAATTGGTCGCAAAAGCAAATGTAATGGAAAGGCAGAGCTGTCCAGACACG